CGGCAGGGGGGTTGGACTAGATGACCCACAGAGGTCCTTTCCAACCCCTACTATTCTGTGATTCTGTGATTCTGTGATTTATAAAAAGCAACTGTACTGCGTCTGAGCCTTCGTTTTGCTGAACTAAGCAAGACGTGTTGTTCCAAATGCTGTAGGTAGAGACCCTTCCATCTGCCTGGTCAGTAGCACTTTTCTGCGCCTGATCAGCTTACATTCACCTTTCTTGAGCTGGGGTGGTGTAAATGATACACAGCATCATGCCTAACAACTGCTGGAAATACTTCATTGAACGTATGATAAGATTTTGGGGTTTTTTAGTGCACAGATCTTTCCCATGAGATATCAGTTAGTGAGCTCTGCATTTCTAACAGATGCATTTTATTAGTCCGTAAAGAAATTATTCTAGACATTGCATTGACATTTCTTTTTTTGGTAGGGTTTTTTGTGAACTCCACTCATCGATTTCATTCATTCTTTAGGACATCTTTGTCGTGCAGTCTTCCAGCTCTGTACCATCTACGGGTTTTAGTAGCACACACCTGCCTTTTTGCACCAACTTAATTAATGAAAATTCTACTTGAGTTCCACATCCCAGTTACATCCTCCACATTTGTTTTTCTTCAATAACTGCCTGTCTCCTCTGTAGCCACTTCCTTACCCACAATGTAACTCCTGTAATATTACTGCTTAACCTTCTCCAGCGTAACTTGTACATTTCCAGTTGTTAGAGAAATCGGGTATGGAATTTTGTATTTCATGAGTCAGCTGGTTTCGATTTCCGAGATGAAGAATATCTGGTCTGACCAGTATGAGCCTAGGAAGATCTTTGATTTTTACCTCCATCTCATTTTTAGCTTTTATCCCTACTGGCATGTTCCCATGGTTCCTGTTATTATCAGAACCTGTGACACATCAAATATTCATTTACTATTGACACCCTGCTTAAATTATCTAAATTACCTCTCTCCTTAGCAATCGTGTTTTCTTAGTTTTCCTATTACTTAGTTGTTTTACTATTTATTCTTGTTTCCTTTATGAGATCTAACTCAGCTCATATTTTTGGCAATTCTCAGTTGATCCCTCAACCTGAAAACATGGCTTTCCGTTCAAATACTGTAATGCCTGTGAAAAGCTTCTGTCGTTGCGTTACAAAGAAAACCAAGCGAAACCCAAAAACAACTATATGTGCTCCAACTACAGTTCATAAAATCTTCAAACTCAGCCAAATCAAAATCAATTTTTGCCCGGACTCGGTTTAGCATCTCTTTTGCCCAAGGGCTATTTCCCTGCCAAGTTGCTGCTTTTGCTCCCGCCCATTTCAACATTCTTCAGACTGTTCATAATTCAAGTATATGTGAATTCAGTCTGTGTTGATACAAATGTACAAGGTAGAAAAAGAAGTAATACCCCTGATCGAATTCTCATACAACATCCTTTGAGGAACAGACAGTTCTTTTCTCCAGTTGTACCCCTGAAATTCGTAGGAGACTGTTTCAGGCGAGTGGAGAGGAAGGGTGTGCTGCAGGGACATCGAGAGACATCTGTCTGCTAGGCAAGTGGTGGGGTTTCTGCTCTGGCTGGGATTAACTTGGCCAACATTGTTAAAGACCACTATGCGACCAAAACATCAACTGTTATACCCAGAGCTGAAAAATCACTGTTGTATACTTGCAGCGTTCATGTGGCTTGGAGGTTTCCAAAAGTGAAGCTGTATTTTCTCAGAATAGTTACATAAACAGTAAATCCCCTTTGAACAGGAAGGATTCTATGGGCAGCTCCAAATGATGTTACTGTCGACATCGGCGGTCCCTTCTCTGGGGGAGTTTGGATGTGATACCAAAGTTGTGTTCCGTAAAATGAGAACCAAAAGGGCTCCTTATGACAGCAGTTACCACACCTCCCTTGGGTGATCCTAAACCACACTGAACACTGGAGTTTCTAGCTTCTGTGCTGCTCATTTTGCTCTTCAGCCCTGAGCCTCCAAGTACGAATCTGTTCAGGGTCGTTTTCCACGATAAATTCTGCGTTCTAATCCTTGATTCCTGCAGCGTTGGAACTAAGCAGTCGGCAAGTTTGTAGATCAGAACTGCAGGGCAGGAAAACATGTTTGTGCTAAAAGAAAGTTGTAGGAGGGTGAGCTTCTAGGCTGGGTAACAAAGGAAAAAAGAAAAAAAAACCCATGAGGGGTGAATACATCTGCGGGACAGGTCTAGTCCAGCATCTCTGCTCAGAGAGATTGTGTTACCTGTAAGGAGTCAGCAGCTCCCACAATTGCATTGGCACACGACCTTGGAGAGGCGAGAAGTAACAGTCTGCAGTTGATTTGCCAACAACTGGTGTTTTAGAAGAAGCCTGGATTTTATTAAAGGCCTTGGCTCAGAGCAGCAAACAAGACTCGTTCAAAGCCTGTCTTTAATATCAAGTCTCAAGGTTTCTGACTGTCTGAAAGAAAAGGACTGGGTTACTCCAGACCATTGAAAAACCATGAGTAAGATTTCTCAAGTAGGAATGTACTGCTAATTAGTCTTTTTGGGTCAGCCTGGGTGGGTTGGCTAATTAGCAAAAGCAATATACCCATGTGATTGGCCTGGAGTGTGGGTGAGGTTCCTGGAAGCACCAGGTGATATCTGGGGAAAAAAAGGATGTGTGGGTGGTAAAACCAGGACAGCTGCAGTCAGTGACGAGAGAGGGGGAGATACACCTTCAGTGGAAAATGCACGCAGGCTCTCAACTTCCAGAATAGTTGGGTAAGGATTAGCAAGCTTCTGTGAGGTTTATTGAAAGCTTAATTTAGGATAAAACAACTTTTTTGTGAGATGGGGAGATATGCAGATTGCGTAAGTGCTGCTGTTGTCGTGTCAAGTCAGGTAGGTGCTGCGTGCCGTAAAACCCAAGGCCGTTCCAGTGCGAGAACGGGCGGCAGGTCTGCTCAGCCCCCAGGCACGGAGGAGACGGAGGCCCTGCGGGTGTTGTTTTCATGTTAGAATAGGTGCCAATTTAAATTCCCAGCCTGTGCTTTCAGTTTCTAAATAAAAGATGAGTTTTACCTACATAATCTTTTGTTTTACTAGAAAAGCAGTAACGCTCGCATCCTCCCTAGCCATCCTGTGCTGCTGCAGAGAACCACGCAGGTCGGTTTCTGGCGGGTTGTAAGGCCAGGAAGCCTCTCACGTGGTGATCGTAGCAATGTTCCTTCTAAAACATGGTGCATGCTGTCTGACAGAAGTCACATGGACTCCTCCAGAAAGAACCTCCTGGAGGTCGCTGAGCCCGAGTGCTTGTGCTGTCCCTGGAAGGGCTGGCCTCTGTGTCCTGCCGAAGGACACCCAGGCAAGCTCCCAGCGCCCAAAGGCATGGGGGAAGGTGCCAGATGTGCCAGCACTATGCTGCTGGAATGCTAAAGGAGTTCGCTCCTCGGGGGCAGCTTTTCCAGGTCCCTGCTCGGGGCAGGTTTCCCCCAGGACCGAGGAGTTACTGGTGTCCATGCGTATTGCTCCAGCGAGCTCCACCGCGTTATACAGAGTGGGCACCGCAAATACTGAACGTTACTGGCGCATGCATAGGAGAGAGTGTCAGCTTCTAGATGTAGTTCAGAAAATTAGAGGAAGGAGAGAGACAAAACGGAGAAGGCTTTAACCCACACTGAAGAACTTGAAAATTTTCTGGTGGCTGTGTCTTTCCTTATGAAATCCTCTTCGTTTCCGAGTATCCTCGTCCTTACAATGATGCTTACCGAGAACTGCGTTACTGGGTGAGTGAATAGAAGGATCAGATTTTGCCTTGTTCATTTTGTACCTATCATTTTTACTCCTCATTTGGCCTTCTGAAGGTTGGTAGCTCTGAACGATCAGAGCTTTGGACCTGTCCTATGTCTTTTTATTTATGTAAGTAAAGCAGACAAAGCAATTTGTAACAGCTGCATACAGTAGAGTGTCGTAACACCTTCCAGTTCGCTGTGCAGGGATTCACATTGCTAGGAGTGAGATTTATTTCTATAGTTCTAACATCAAATACAAAACTATCAGAAGATAACAGTAAACTTTGTAAGAAATACATTTAATTTTCCATTTATTACTTAATGCATTCTGGGTTTTTTTCCTTCTTGACAGATGGCAATTTAATTTCTGGATCCTTAAAAGACTCCCAAGCTATTATGTCCAATGACTTAACATATTTCACTTTTCAAAATATTAGAGATGGGCCTGAGACAAAGTTTGGATCCAAATACTAATGTTCCCAGAGGGTGTTCTGCTCCAAGGCTTTGGTTCAGACCCATCTTTTCCTCTCGGCAAGTATACATTTGAAAAGAATCCTGCCAAATAAATCTCCTGTTTTGAAAAGTTAAGTATTACATGTGTTTCTAATAACATGTCAGATGGAGTAGCGTGAAGTAATTTCAATTATTTTTATTATTTGTCTGTGGTTTTTGCTTCCTTCTTTCATTTTGCTTAGCAAAACAGCTAACCTAGAGTAGTCCATCTCCCTTCCCATTTGCAGTCAGCAAATCAAAGTGAAACTACCACTAGCAACAAGTCCTGCTGCGCTCGTGCTTCCAGGTACGAGTGAATGCCATTAAAAATAAATTATTTCTTAAATTACTTGAATGTATCTGTTGAAGTCCATTTTCTGTTCAGTCCACCCTAAAAAAGAGAGCAGAAGCAGTGAGATGCAGAAAAGCGTTCAAGGTGCTAGGAACTGCCGGAGAAAGGCCGTACGGAAACGGAGGTGAGATCTGAGAAGGCACTCCGGAGATCACGATCACATGCTGCAGAGGGAAAACATTTGTTTTTTAAGAACTCAGCTTTGGATTAGTGCAGGATTCATATATCATGTCAGACAGCAACTAAATTAGAACATGTTATCTGGAATAAATTACACGTATATGTTCAGCTCCAACCAATAAAGAGATTTCTAAGGAAAATAAAGGCAAATTAGTGGAAAATTGGAACGAAACTACTCTAATTTTTTTTTTTCTCTTTTGTTTCAAATGTGTTTTCCAGAGTGGATCACTAAAGGAGCCAGAGCCAAACAAAATCCCACCTCAGCGACCACCACCTCAAGGTTGTTTACAGTACATTCTCGACTGTAATGGCGTTGCAGTAGGACCAAAACAAGTCCAGGCTACTTAGATAATTGAGACTAAAAGCAAGGGTTAAAGCAGAAATGAAAAAAGAAAAGAAACAAACCCGCAATCTTAAAAGCAAACATGCCAGTTTTGTTCAATTTTTGCATTGTTTCAGTGCTGACCTGGACTGTGTTTTTTCTATGCAGTGTCAACGATACCGTCTGGTTGTTTACTTGTTCATGTCCGTGCGTGTAATGCTTACCTGCCTTGCTCTGTAAAACGTGTGATTCCAGGGCTGTTGTCAACAGTGTACAAAGAATGTGCCTCTCTAGAGCCCCGTGCAACTGTACATGATGGATAGTTAGACGGTATTTTTTGAGTATTATATATCGTTAAGTAAAATACCACCGAGGTTCCAATCGAAATACTTCTGCTTACGCTGTGAGTGTGTGCACACTGTACTCATAGCCTTTATTTTTGTGTGTGTGTGCATGACTAATAGGTAGGTGATCCAGATATATTTTTAAAAGTATAGATTAGAATTTGCTAGTGAGGCTTTTTATTTATAATTTTATAAAGTTTGTTAACATTTGAGTTTTACTTGTAAACAAGTGGAAGTCTAATATTTCAGTGACTCCAGAAGATCTAGTTCTTCCCAAGGAATATTTAAAATATCTTCTATTTTACATACTAGTATTCATATTTTTAGTAATTCTGCATTAAATTATTAGCTACAAAGCTATGTAAATGGGCCACCTATGTGCAATATCTCAGTGAAAGTGTGAGTATCTAATGTATCCTATTTCAATTCAATAGTACCTTTTGTTGTCATTCTGAACGAGTAATCTATGGAGATTTTTAATGAAAACTGATGCAAATACTTTCAAAAATCTTAATACTTACCTAGAGAGTGAAATCCCAGGTGATTTGGCGAGATGTACCTCAAGGACTGTTAAACTTCCTGTAAGAGCTCATTTTTTTCAAACACCGAGGTGTTTTAGGAGATGGTAGACCAGGGTACCTTTAACCAGCTAGGGGTCTTGCCCTGTGATTAAAATGCCAGACAAAAGTGTCAGCAGTTTTATTTACCAGCTCAGGTCTACTATTTTAAACGTAGAAATCTCCAGATAGCTGTACAGACAGTTCAGTCCCAGCGTTATCCACGTAAGTAGGGTTTGTAATAATTGCTTGAAATCCAAACATGCAAAAAGACTGGAGGTGCCTGACAACTGCTAGGTTTTCTGTAGGTAAATTATTTGTGATTTTTGCATAACCAATTTATGGTGTAATGTGACAAGAAATACGCAGGGAGGCAGTTAATCTGTCGTGAGAGCTCTAGCCTAGAATCACAGGGTGCACACTGCAAGCATACCATAAAGCTTAGTTGCAAGCGAGCCACAAAAGTATAATTTTAATCTTGGATGTCTACGAAGATGAGTAGTGGCCATTAGTTTAGTGCAAACAATTTTGTTTGAAGGGAAAAAAACCTAAAAAAAAAACAAACACTGGAAAAAATTATCAGTGAGAATCATCATTCTTAGTGTTTCTTTTATTTGTACAAGCTGGCTGGTAAGACGAGAATTAAGGTATGCGTTATTAGCTATTTAGATGTTTGTGGTAAGTGCTACTGTTTACTGCCTATCAGTAAATTACATGAGTATTTTGCTTTAGTGATCAGCATTTGTCTGGGTCAGTGGTCATTCCAGTGATGGCGTTGGCTGTTCTGTTCTCCATTAATAAAATTCCACTTAGAGTCAGGTTCACAAATCCTTACCTCCAGACACCGTAGAAGCGAATAAACCATACTGCCCTGGGGTGAAGAAATGAATCTGATGATTGATTTTATTTAAAGCAGTTGGTATTTTTTGCATGTAGCGGTGCAAGCATTCGCAAGTGCTTTTCGCACGACGCTTGTGGGTCGTGTGTGCCAAGGAGAGGTGGGGGCTGCAGGTAGGATTTCAGCTTGTTGGCTGGAAGGACTGGCGAGGGCGCGCGCTGTTGCTACACCCCCCAGACGAGGAGCAAGCCCAAATGTCTCTCTGCATGCAAGCATGCTTAGGTGCAATATCGTGGGTAACAGGGAACAGATGTTTCACAGTGTAGGCTTGATGTTCAGTTTTGTTGAGTTATTTTTGGTAAAAGTTTCTTTCATGATTGTTGCCTTTTGTACAACCCAGCTGCAAGAAAGTGAGCAAATGCTGGAAGTGTGACAGCAGTATATCTTTTATGTGAAATATCTTGTACAGCTTAATGTGCAATAAAAGAAAGTTATATCTGTCTTCAGTGTAAAGTTTCTGGCATTCAAGCCTGTATGTACAAGTGGGGGAAAGAAACATTTCTGTTTTCCAATATTGAGCGAAAGGAGACTAATAAGAAAACAATCCTTATTGAGATGTTGCAAGACCACGTTATCACCTTCAAATATTTCCTACCAAAGTGGTTCAAATTAATACACAATGAAGGCACATTCCTTAACACACAGTACGTGCTATTTATCTTTCTACACCACAACACACCGCTACAACTGTGTTAAAACTTACTGAAGTGTTGGTATGTGCTGCTCTCAGGCACATACACTGGAATCTCGCAGAGTAAGTAGAAAGCTAACTGTAAGAGCCATTTGAAAAAAAAAATAATTGTGTATTGCAGCAGTGCTTCCAGATACGAAGGTTTTCCTTTAGACACCTGAATAGATTTAAGCCTTTTACTTGCACTAAGTATCTGTGTAAGACTGAAAATTCCCAAATGTTCAGAACATCTAGATCAGTCCTCTTCCATAATATTTACTGTTCAGCAAAGCTCTTGCCCTGACTGAAACATTATACAAACAAATGGCTCAGAATTTCATCCTGTCCTTCCTTCTCCGTAACTCAGATGCCCTGTGTGCTTTGTCACGTGCAAGAATAACGATTCGGGTACGACTGTCGGCCCAGAAAGCCACATGCAGACATCTGATCCGAGAGAAAAGCAGCATGCCTGCTGATATCTGACACGGCGCTATTTCAGTCAGAAAGCAGAAAAAAACCCACCTGTGCGATGACGTAGTGTCTTTCAGCTGTGGATTTCACAGTCTGAGCCTCCGCTACACATTGTAGTTTCACATGTGATACAGTATTTTACAGTATACTTCCTCTCGGTGGAAAGATCTCTTTGGTGAAGAATTAGTAGTGACTTCCATGTGTTTCTTGTGATGTTCTTGACATATTTCACTAAGGGGTTAAATAAGTTATCAAAAGGCTTTAAATTAGCTGGAAAATTTCAGTATGAAGTTGTTTTACTGCTATAAGAGTGAATCTAAGAAGAGTATTACAGAAATAATCTTAAAACTTTGGAGGAACAGAACTGCAGTAACTAACTACACAGAAAATAGTAGCTGTGTTGCTGAAGTAGATGTTACTGGGAAAGTCAGTTGTCTCGCAGCCTCTGCTTGAGCTGGGCCAAAGTTATACTGGAGTTAACTCCATTGGTGTGATTTGAAGTCGGTACCGCTACTGCTGGGATAAATGTTGTACTTCTTAGCGATCTTAAGGATGAATCGTTGGGGCTCCAAGCAAGTTACTTATGTGCCAGCTGTGAGGAGTAGTATTGACTACATGAAAATTCAGTCCATATTAATAGAATTTTGCCTCAAAAGTAGAATTAGTCACATTCAAGGGTTGTTTTGAAGTGTTGGATATGAAATCTAATAAGAATTCTTTGACACTATGACATGATGAAGTTTTTCTTGTACTGAACCTAGGGGGCCCAGTGCAACCCCAAGGAATGCAATCCCAAAGCCAGGAGCCATTGCAGCCCCAGCGCGTGTACCCCCCC